AGGGTGAGGTTAAAAGTTGGACTCGATGATCTTAAAGGTCTTTTCCAACCAAAGTGATTCTATGATTCTATGACATATAGACTGGTAAGAACCTTCTCTTCCTCCCCTGATTACTTCTTATTGATATTAATTAGAGTAAGTTCAGGAAAGTTCTCACTTAAATTAATGAAATCAAGAAAAAGGTCACCGTTTTCTCAGGAAGTGCTGCTGAGATAGCTACTAAGACAGCTTTCAAAGATCCCAGATTTCAGTGAGCACAGAATAGTATTAAGAAAGGAGGGGAATCAGTAGCTTAGGGGGAGCATTACATCAGTTAAAATAAAAAATAGCTCATGGAGCCACAGAGAAGGTCTGGTGACTGAGGGACATTTTGCTTGAAGGAAATCTGAATGAAGATGCTAACGTTAGTAAGATCTGGATAAATAAAACACATCCAGACAGTCTCTTTGTGTAGTTGCGTATGCTAAGAACCAAGTTTTATCTAAGCATTCAGGCAGGAAACCCAGTAAGTTAATAAATGTGTTGTACTGGTGCTGTATATTTCCCTTGATGAACTCAACAGCAAAGAAATTTTTTTTCTCATTTAAAAGCGTCTGATGAAAACTACCATGATCATTTCAGCTGCATTGTACAGTGTGTTTAAGTATCCTCCAGTCCAGGAGAATTTGACATATTTTAATATGTAAGCAGGATTTGGTGCATGGATTTTTAAATATGATCTCTGTATTGCACTTTGCATTCCAGTTAGTTCAAAGATTGTGAAATTCCAAATAAATGTGCTATGGTGACTACGTTACTTTCTATAGGATAGCCAGGGTAGTACCTAGATCCAGAAAGCAGAAACCAGTAGTGGGGGGAAAGGGCTGTAGTATGGAGTTGAGTACACAGGCAAAAAGTCTGACAAAAATCTTGTGAAATGACTTTCAAATGCCAGCTGACGTTTGTGAAAGAATAAAGTCTTCGTATTGCTTAATTGAACAATTAGATTTCGCGTGCTCTAAGGCATAAGCAATGCTAGACAAATCTTTCAAACTTTTCTCCCAGTTAATCTTAACCCCATTATAGGAAATGTCTCCAGCGTATCTCAGTTCACCTCACGAATCTCTTGGATAATTTATCTTGACTATTCAGTGCAAATCATATTTGACGAGAACTGTTCTCCGAGAGCAGAATACAGACTCATGACTGAGAATTTCAGAATAGATGTAAGATTTTAAAGACGAGCTGAGCAAACGTATGATCTCAGCTTTTTCTCTCATCAACTCACATTTAAGAAATATATTTAACTTTCAGAAATGAAAATTGAGATTGTCTATTTTCCTTACTGTATGTGTTATTTTTGAGAAATATATCTTCTGAAAGCTCTTTGCCATTTCCAGCTGTATCTAGAAGCAGCATTTTAGAAGAGAAATAGCTTGTTTTGTTGTTTAGTTGGGGTTTCATTGACTATTCTCAATGGACAATTGTAATTTCTATCCTGAGTTACAATACAGCAGTTACAATACAGCATTTGAAATCCTTTCTGAAAGCTATTTCAAAATCATATATATCTTTTTATTATGAAAGCACAAACCACCTTTTGGGTTCAAAATAAAAGGCATGTTTAAATTTCTTTATGAATATAGGAAGTCAAATCCATTTAACTGATTCTGCGACCATCTATCATCGCTTGCACATACGATATGAATTGGTTTCTGAATGGCTTCTATAATTTACCCCGTTGCTTGCTTCTCTGCATATTTCTCCCACATTATATGGATAGTATTAAAAAATAGTGAAATATTTAACTTTTAGAATCTGATATGAAAAGCTAGACAAATTCTCTGAATTTATGCTTCTGCTATTCAGTTGTCAAGTAACTACAACATTCACATAGTAAATACATTTCAATTTAGTTCTATGTTTTGCATGAATACTGGAACTCCAATATTGGTGAAACCTGTGGTGGCAAATTGTTGTTCTGTATTTCCCATATCTTTTTTATTACCTCAGGTGCTTAGACAGAGAGTGAAGTGCATGTTTAATATTCAAGCAAAACATATACAATGTGATCCTGCTCCTCTGAAGCCACTGGAGTTTTGCTATTTACTTAAATGGAAATATGATGAAGCTCCGATGCGTGCATTTAAGGAGCCGTTGTCTTCGGTGATTCTTGAGCATAGGGTGGATTACTCTGAGCAAGGCAAACACGCCTTCGTGTTGTATGTTCTATCCAAATGTTGTTATGCATTTATTGCAATGATGCTGTGACTCAGCTGCCTGTGTGATGCAAAGAACTCCAAACAGCTGTCAGTGATACTTCTCTACTAATCATATCTTATATTGTTATAGACTATTAATTGTTTAATCACTGCATGTACTGTGGTTCAAATAAGTGCCAGTGCAAATGAGAGTAAAAAACAAACCTGAAATGTGTTTCTTCAGCTGCTATATTGGGGTTACATGGCAAGGTTTTGGTAACGGGGGCCACAGGGGTGGCCTCTCTGAGAAAAGACCAGGGACTGCTCCCTTGTTGGATACGGCCAGTTCCAGCTGGCTCCAAAACAGACCCACTGCTGGCCAGAGCTGAGCCCATCAGGGAGGCTGGTGGTGCCTCTGATACTTATTTAAGAAAGGGTAAAAACGCTGCACAGCAGCTGTGAGTGAGAGGAGTGAGAAAAATGCAAGAGAAACAACTTCGTATACATCGACATCAGTAAAGAAGGAAGGGGAGGAGGTGCTCCAGGCTCTGGAGCACCTGTGGAGAAGACCATGGTGAAGCAGGTTGTCCTCCTGCAACCCGTGGAGGACCCTACACCTCAGCAGGTGGTGATTCCTGAAGGAAGCTGCAGCCCATGGAGAGCCCACACAGGAGCAGGCTCCTGGCAGAACCTGGAGCCTGTGGAGAAAAGCCCATGGAAGAGAAGGTTTTCTAGCTGAAGCAGTCTGTTCCTGAAGGACTGTACCGCATGGAAAGGACCCATGCTGGAGCAGTTCGTGAAGAACTGCAGCCCTTGGGAGCTGCAGGGAAGCTCCCACGCTGGAGCAGGAAAGGAACAGCAGAGATGAAGTGTTATGATCTGACTGGAATCCCCCATTTCCTGTCTCCCTGTGACATGGAGCAGGTAAGGAGGTAGAAAAGCTGGGAACAAAGGAATGAAGTTGAGCCTGGGAAGAAGGGGGGAGGTGGGGGAAAGGGGAAAACTAAAAGGTTTTAGTTTTATCTTTGTTTCTCACTATGCAACTGTATTTTTAATTGGCAATAAATTAAATTAATTTTCCCCAAGTCAAGCCTGTTTTGCCCATGACGGTCATTGGTAGGTGACCTCCCTGTTTTTATCTCAACACCCGAGCTTTTACATCATGTTTTTTTCTCCCTGTCCTGTCGAGGAGGGGGAGTGAGTGCATCTTGGTGGGCACCTGGTGGCCAGTCAAGGTCAGCCCACCTCAGCTGCTTTGTGGAGACTGAACTAAACAAACAGGATACCATCACCCAGTTCTGGCTTTGTGAATAATTAAATCTCTTCCTGGATACTAGGACCTCATTGAGATAACATTTTTTCCTATGCTGTATTGAACTGTATGAATTTTGCAGTTCTTGATGTATGAGACACGAGTAGGTTTATCTTGTGAAAAATTTATCAGTGAGTATCTGTGTTTAAGCAAAATGATGTCAACTGTATTCACATCCCCTTTGTTCTGCTTTCTAGAAATATTCTAGCAAGCATCGTCAAAAGAAAATTGTGAATGGGTGTTTGAAATTTATGTTCAGTAGCATTCTTCAG